GAACGCGCAGCGTTATATCTACGAAGTTCTAGAACCCCATCTTTTACCCTATCTTGGCACCCTTGCCCGACCAAATGCTGCAAGAGTCACAATAGACTTCTTTCAACATAATGATGTCACATTGTTACCATGGCCACCAAGATCTCTCGACTTATCCCCAATTGAGCACGTGTGGGATATGATGGGTAGGAGATTGCTCAATTTGCAAGGTCCTCCTCAGACTCTAGAAGCACTTCGAGAGGAGTTGGTGGTTGCCTGGAATGAGATACCACAGGAGGACATTGACCACCTGATCAGAAGCATGCCTAGGCGCGTCAAAGGGCTTTAAAGCAGTGCATTTTGAAATTTTTATCATTTACTTATTATGCTTCATCAAGTACTTATACAAAATTTTATTAAAATAAAACCATTTAAACTGGGTGTTCGGATTTATATGTCACTTAGTATACTTGAAGAAACATCATTGTTTACCGAATATACTAAGCTCAGTTGAAACTATAAAATGACGAATTGCAGTGTCAGAGGCAGTTAGACTTCAGTCATTATCAAAAATCGAATGTCGACTTCAAAATACGTTCAATCGGATGTACCGCAAGGCTCGGTGATGGGACCATTGATGTTCCCACTTTACACTGCAGATTTACATGTTAAATTGATGGCCAATTTTTTGCTGGGGATACGAAGTTGAAGTGTGACAATGTCCGCGAGTCATGTCGCTAGTAAATGGAGATCTTGATAGTATTAATAGGTACTGTAGATCTCACAAGTTGAGACTAAATCCCTCGAAAAGTTCCGTTATATGATTTGGCGATAAAACATTGCGTGAAAATATTAGCCATAAATATATTGCAAATTTGCCTCTTTTAAACCTGACCTGTCAGAACTTATAACAAACCGACTGAATACCGACTTGAATAGCCTTCTCAAAATCTCTGGAGATCACTTGTTAAAGATAAACCCTGGTAAATCGACGGCTATAGTGTTTTGTAATGATTCGTACAGAAACGTATTACATAGAAAATAATATTAAGCTAAACCTAGGGAACAATATAATATCATTTAGGGATTCCGTGAAGGATTTGGGCGTAGGGTTGACTCTGAACTCAAGTTCAGAGACCACATTACTCTGCGCATATTCAATGTTAAAAATAATTTACCCCCATAGACGTTACCTATCACAAAATACTAAAGCCACGCTCTGCGAAGCTTTAGTGTTGTCCCACTTCAACTTTGCTGATATGGTATATGGCCCATTTCTTGATAGAGTGGAACTAAAACGGGTTCGAAAAGCTCAGAATTCTTGTGTGAGACTGATATTTGGCATAAGGGGTAGACAAAGAGTATCCCACAACTACCTGAACTGGGATGGTTGAATATGGATCAGCTGCTTCTTTAAGGGGCAAGCTGATGTAGTCCTTTATTCTCTTAAGTCTTTTTTTATTTGTAAACTGTTTAATGAGGGTGATAAATATTATTATTATTCATGCACGTCTCTATTATTTGTGGACGTTCTTTATATTTTTGCACCGCCACCGTGTAGCTCGTCGTTCACCCTCGACAACAATGCAAATGCAGAGTTGTTTGCGATCAAAAAACCCATACGGACGTTCCAGAGGCAACGACCTGTTATGCACAATTTGATCCGTCGCGGAATGCGGCGAATATGTACGGGAAATTGATCCTTTACTTAGCTGAGGGGAATTTTATTTAGTAACTTATTGCAATTTTCATGCCAGGCGAGTGATACCGCTACTCACCAAAGGTGTGACGTTATTCTGACAGAATTTGTCTCTCTAGCAATCCGTAATGCCAGCGCCACCTTCAACTAACGAGCCATGAACAGTAGATATGGCAACGCAGCTTTGGGGTCTTCCACAGACAGGTGTTTGCCGGGCTTTTCGTTTGTTTATATTCCTAACCTCCGACTTTTTGGTGCAATTTCGTTGTAAATCTCTGGGAACAGTGCAATTCATACAAACCAGAGTAATCTACTTAGTTTTGCTCTTCAAACCGTGCAGAAAGTATTTATTTTAGGTAGTATTAAATCGTGCTTTGATGTGTTTAAAATGTGTGTGAATCGGTGCTTGTTAGAAACTGCAAGGGAAACTACGAGGCAGAATTGAGATCGACACCCTACAGGTCAGTGTTTCGATTTCCAAAAAATGAGGAGTTGAGAAGTAAGTGGCTAGCTTCAATACCAAGAAAGGACTGGTCGCCTTCTAATGATTCTGTTGTTTGTTATGCACATTTTCAACAAGCAGAAATTGTCCGTACGGAAACTTATGTTCTGCAGGATGAATCAGCTAACACAGTCACACTGAGTCGTCCAAAACTTTCAGAAGGTGCTGTTCCATCAGTCTTTCCAGATGTGCCATCTTATCTAAGTAAGCGTCAAGTTAGTTGAAGGTGGCGCTGGTAATGCTGAATATTCCAAGCCTGGTAGACTGACTAGATAGGCTTCCGGTTTGAACAAGTATACATCGAGAACTAGGGATTGACCCCAAATGAATTCCGACGTCTAGTTCGTTTTGGTGAGCGCGACCTATTGAACTAGTTCGCCAAAACGAACTAGAAAGCACATTACTGGTACCGAGACATTGCCTTCGCGGATGTTGTAATAAAATCGGCTGACGCAAACGGATAAAACTAACAAATTTTACGTGGCACTTTTTAAAACGCATATTCGCGCAGCTGATATGCTAGACGGCGTGTGTACGTATGGCGAGATAAAATTCGAAGGTCTCCACCGTCAAGTTTACGTACATTTATAAACACTTTCGAGAGGAAATATAATTCAAGTTGCTTAATTTATCGCGCAGTTTATCGAGGCGAAGTATGTGTTATTTGATCTTTTTAAATAGAGATTTTGTCAGGCTCAGAACGATATGATAATGATCTAGGTCTGACATTGCAGGAGGCATTAAAAGATTTTGCTATCAGGATATGAGATGTATATATCTGTACAAGGTTACTTTGCAATATTTATGTTTCATTGCAAGATTTCATTGTTGATTTCTGTGATTAATCTCATTTAAATACATGTGCTCAGTATTGTAAATCCAGAATGTTTAGTTTTAAAACGTCCCAACCTGGGTAAAATTCAATCATGATAACGAAGACGATGTTTCATATGATAAGGGAACATAATATCTCAGCGCGTGTTCAGCTTAAGACACTTGCAAAACAATATGCAATTAGGCATGTGCGCGTAAGCGTAGCTCGAACTGCGAAAAAAATACATGTAGAAACCGAGTTATCGATCCATAACCTAAAATTAGTATTACGTAACTGAATTACGAATTCTTCATTTCAGAATACGGAATAGAAAGTTGCATTTAGCTACCGCCGGACAGCAGCCCGTCGGTATGATCCTGGTGTGCGTGGTGGCAATTCTAGCCTATTAAAAATAAATTGCACAAAGCACGGAACACCGACCAGAGAATAGAGATGGACTCACATGATGATTCTCATAGTCTTTTTTCTCCTTCACAAAGGCTAGGGTATTTCTATGTCTCTACTGTTCCGTGTCAGCGTCAGCGCTCTCACATTGTGAGGTTATGTTTTCTTTTTGAAATATAAGAACAGACGATAAGAATTAAAAGCATGAACAATTTGATGCAAATAGATATTGTGACATAACCAAAAAATACGGCGCTGACACGGAACAGCAGAAATCAAAAAATACCCCTGCCTTTCTGAAGGACAGCAAAAGTATGAAAATCAAGGTCCTACAACGACGTCATCAATTCAGCACAACCCTTTCTAGGCTGTTCTCTAACCGCGTCGAACTTCGTACATCAAGAACTGGTCGGTATGACCACTCCTTTGTCCCTAGGCTATCGATATTGCGGAACAATCTGCCTGAGGAGGCTTTTCCCAGTTTTACTAACCCTTTCTAGGCTGTTCTCTAACCGCGACGAACTTCGTACATCAAAAACTGGTCGGTATGACCACTCCTTTGACCCTGGGCTATCGATATTGTGGGACAATCTGCCTGAGGAGGCTATTTTCTATTTAATTGAAATCAAAATAAATGAGTCGCCCATCTCTAGGCAGCTCAGCGCCGCAGGGTTCTTTCAAGGCTGTTCGATGATATTTATGTTTACATAACAAACCTAACGCGCAAGACGGATGTGCGACGTTACCATATCGACGAACATTTCTCGAAACCTACGAAATAAAAGCTTCCATTATGCGATATGAGAGTGGCATTAATATTTTTCACCTACTAAGCGCCGTATCGTCAGTCGTTCCGACAATAATTATTGTATTATGCCCTCCTTGATTATCAGAAAAGAAATAATAACCTCAAAGTAGGGCGCTTACACGATACATCAGAAATCTAGAAATACCCCTCTGCCTTTCTGAATGACAGGAAAAACTATGAAAATCAAGGAGGCCGTAAAGTCGTCCTACAATTGTAGACAAACCATACGTGTTTGCGATGCCCCACAGAAAAGTAGCTTTTCTCTTCATGCTATACTCGAATTTAATCAAGAGTCAAGAACCAATATACTATTTCCGACTCAGCTATCTACGTCATTGATCATATTACAAAATGATGTGAAAATGACCGACAGGTCCTTTTTACATGACAGCTTCAAGTCCAAAAATGTTTTTGAACAGTTTGAAAGGTCTACACCTGATCGAACTAAATCAAAAATAGGTACGTAACCAAAAATATGGATTTTCTTATATGCAATCAGAATACTTCAAATGCCAGCGTTTGAAACAAAATGCGTAGATTCTGCAACATTTGTTTCATAAAACAATGGGTGGGTACACACATAGTTGATTTTCTAGCAACATCTACGACTTGTCAACATTACTCTCTTATTACAAGTAATTGCGATCATAAGACTCACTGAAATACCACAAACCCCCAAAAATGAAAATATACCGCCTATGTCTAGAGAAACTAGAACTGCCTAGCTCTTGTTTGATTTCGCGTGCACAATGTCGCAACGCCGTGCGCCAGGCTGTCCGAAGCGCTCACCTACCTGTTCAACAACAAAGGAACAACGTCAACACTCGAAGGCGTCGCAAATGCGTCCAGGTTCCATAACAGCAGGCGCCCGTACGGTGTCACCCGTTGATTCCCGCAGGAACTGCTATATCCAGTGCTGCTGAAATCTGAAAAATAGGTGCGATCACGGAACAACAAAGTGGAACTAATTCGCGACGCGGTCTGACCTGACAGCGGATCGCCGCTCAAAGCCTACTGCGTCGCGGACGTCGCGGTGCGCTGACGCGGCCCGCGAACTCGCTAAGGTGCATGTGTATGCGCTTGCGACGTTGCCAGATTTACTTTTGAGAAATACTCATGGATCGGCATGTACAGGGTGATACTGAAAACAGCGACGATATTTCTAGGCCATGAAGTACATCAAGAAATAGTTCATATAAAAATGAGTTCTAAAATGATCCCTTACCGAGATACACGGCGTTGAAGTTATAAAAAAATATTTCTCGGTTTCGAGTGGATTAACAGATATCGACTTGGGGCCGTATCGTCAGCCGTTCTTACAATAATTGTAGGACGCCTTAATGGCCTCCTTGATTTTCATAGCCTAGCACGTCGAATTGTAGGAAGAAGTTCACGTGAAGATTTTTGCAACTTTTTGTAATTGTTATTAGACAAGGGCTAAAATAAGTGATCAAAAAAGTGATCCGCTGATTAAGTTGAGCAGTGTACGAGGGTGGTCCCAGAAGTACCCGGCTTGACCTAAAGATGGCGATAGCTGTTTGAAAAACATCATTGTATTAGAAAGTATGCAATCTATAAAGCATATGTGTCAAGTTTGAAGACGCCACGTTGTTTAGTATTTGTTTGGCAGCCATCAATACTGAACGTATTCAGTGAATTTGTGAAAATGGAGAAAATTGGTCATCGTTATGTGGTACAATACTTTCATTTCAAAGGCCTCAGCCTAACCAATATAAAAGCTGAACTGGATTCTACTCTGGGTGAGTCTGCTCCTTCGTTTACAACAGTAAAATATTGGGTAGCAGAGTTTAAACGAGGCTGTATGAGCTGCCAAGACGAGCATCGCAGTGGTCGACCAAATGAGGTGACGACTCCAGAAATGGTGAAGAAAATTCACGAAGCGGTACTGAATGATCGTCTACTGAAAGTGCGCGAGCTAGCAGACATAGTAGGCATTTTAAAAGGTGCGGTTCATCGCATATGATGAAACATATGGGTCCATCACTTCACACCTGAGACAAAAGAAAACAATGGAAAATTTTTGTTTTCTCCGTTGGGCCGGGTACATCTGGGACCACCCTCGTATTTGCGAAAGTGCACATTTTTATCGACGGGCCATCTTCCTAGTCGCTTTTTAGGATTGAGGAGTAAAAACCCCTCAATAGATGCCAGTGCTGCTCAACTTGAATTAGTGGAGCTGGAAGGTTTTAAGACTTGCCCATTTTAATTTCTGAACAACGAATAAAATTAGGAGACGCTAAGATCAAATAATTAATACATTTTTTAAATTTCTCGTAACTAGCGATATTTTGACAGAATCGGCAACAGGGCGGGAACGACAGCGCGGCGCAGCGCGGCGAGCGCAAATATCGCCGTCTTTTGCGTTCTTTTTGGATTTGTTGACCGTGGGCGATCAGCTGATCCGGTATGAACTCGATTCTCCCACTAATCCATTGTTACCGAAGCCAGATTTTAGTCACATTGGAGCAATGAGGGAACGAGACATAAAAACGGGGGATCGAGATTCTCATGCCCAAGAAATCTTCGAAAATATTTTCATTCATTAGGTTGCAATTAAAAATTGAAGACTGGAGTGGCAGTGACTCTACCCGTGTAGGTACTCATTCGGTGTAGCCTAACTGTGATTTAAACAGTAAATCTAACTTAAAAGCAAAGTTTTTATTGTTAAATAACAAAATTTAATTCTTATGTTTTGTCTTCTTTCAAATCGATTTAAGACTTCTTCCGTATCGACATGCAACATCTTTACAGACGTATAAAATAATAACTTTTTGATGTCGGGATGCATTTCGGCACCGCAATTTTCAATAAGGTTAGGAGTAGGTGTTGATTGACTTAAGAGCAAACATTCGATTAACATAGGAAGATTCGCGCGACGCAAAAGCGATGTCTAATTTATGTCGATTTTTTATTGTGTGTGGGTTGACGAAGTGGTTCCGCAATAAGAAAGGTCAATCCGCTTTTATTGTGACGACCTTAAAACGTTCGAACATTAAAAATCTGAATACCGATGATGTGCTCATCAACCTAGATTTCGTATGTATTAGTGCGAAATGTTTTGCTAGGAAGTAATTTATTGTTTGGAAATTGTGATTATTCGAATATTATTACTGCGGACATCCTGGATGACAAAGCCGTCAGACGTGGACGATGTGACGACATGGTCAAATTTAGTTGGCCATTTCATGAAATGGCCACGACATTATATATTATATAGTGCATGGAAAAAATAACCCTTATGTTGATATGAGGGAGAAAACATTATCTTTAAACTTCGAACTAAAAAAAACAAATATATGAAGCAGAAATGCTTCTTATGAGTCACTATTACGAAATCGAAAATACACAAACTCTCACGAAACTAAAATTGTAGTTCTGCTTGGTTGAAATCGCTCAAAATCTTAAATATTTGTAATATCGAAATCGAGGTTAGCGACATCTAGCCATTAGCACTGTAATCGCTGCTTTACGTTCAAACAATAATGTATGTACCTAAGTTTAATATTTCTCTGAAAGCGCCATCTAGCAAGTAGTAACTAAACCTAATTGATAGACTTATCTATGCACAATAAACAGTAGTTACGGTTTATCTCATAGAGGGCAGTAACAGTAGTATGGATATCACTTCATAGAGGTCGCTAATAAAAATTTAAAAAAATGACAACTAACTTAAACAGCGTTGCCAGATTGAGATATGTTTAACCAGATATAATTATTTGAAATCGATATACCTATATTAAATAAGGTTATCAGTAAGCTATCTTCAGGACATTATCTCGTTCTCCCATATTCTTATAGTTTTTTATTCGCAAAGTGATATGACGTTATCTGGGTTATTTTTTATTGTATGTATCGGTTTTGAGAACGCTTATCATCATCAATCATTTTGCAGACATTTTTCTCACGGTAGGGCGTATCATTGCCAAGATATAACTTTTTGAGAAAGTATACCTGCCCAACTTTTAAGGTCCAACCGGTTTTCAGTGCGGATGAAAGCTACAAAAATGTCAGGACAAATCCTTTTGTTGGGTCAAAAATGAGTTTTTCTCCCCGTGCTCAAAACTTTGGGAACAAGAGTGTTGTCACTTGTCATTCTCATGGTTCACTGTTCGTCTTCATGTGGATACCGAAAAGTGCTCAGAATTTGCAGAATAAATATTTTCCACGATAAATGAGCATAGCGTTTCTTATAATAAATTCAATAGTTGCAGAAAACGTGGTTAGAAATTAGTCAGGTGTCATTACATGTCTCGGTAATTTTATCTCAATCTTCATTCCATTACTGTGTATGGTATTACATTACCAAGTGGTGTACAAATCCACTCCTGAAGATGTCTAATTAAAGTAGGCAGTATATATGCCAAAAAGGTATTGAAGATCTTATCGCTATCTATAAGAGAGTACAAGAACCAAATATTATTACTCTTTTTTATACTGGTTCTGCGTTTGGATATTAAAGCGTGCAAACGTGGCAACACTGTTCGATGTTCTCAAGCTTCGGCTCAAAGTCATTACATGAACGACAAACAAACATAACGTTCAAGGAATTTTGTGGGTGATTACAAAAAACTTTCTTCAAGTATGATATTACTTGATTTCGTGCGGTTTTTACGTGGTCTTGGTTAGTCAGGTACCCAGCCTCCATTATTTTACACACCTCAAGTGTTCCCCACATTCGGGTCACTTGTCAAAGCAAAATGGCATTCAGGTGTTTCTCTTCATTGGGCGCCGGCAAAAATACGCTCGTATTCAGACAGGTGAGATAATCGTATTTGTGTAATAGTGAAAGGTACATTACCGTTACATTTTTTTTCAGTTATTTGATTGTGTAAGCAGCACGTACACATATTTGCTAGGCGATGCCACCACCAAGAAATGTATACTGATCGATCCGGTACTGGAACTGGCTCGGAGGGATTTTCAACTTATTAAGGAGCTTAATTTGAAGTTGATATATGCCGGTTAGTTTATTGGCTAATTAAATAGCGTAAAACTACATATAGGGCTAAGGGAAGTGGGTAATAATGCCTTGTATTGACATTTGGTTGGTTCATTTACAGTGAAGAAGACAGTGGCGTAGCAAGGGAGGGGGCGGTCCGCACCTATCTTAGTTTTTATTGTTTTGATATTTGTTCAATATTTTAAATATAAACATTAAATGATCCATGATGTTTATAAAACTTATTGCTTTTGACTTTCGATGAGGTGACATCACCACCTTCCGCACCGGGTGCCACTCAAGGTGCTATTTGGAAAAAGTTTTTTTTATTGAAATCTCTGCTACAATGATAATTATCAGAGGCTCATTTCAAAGCACTTCAATTCCAGCATTTCATCCTATAAAATTATAGATTAGAATCAAATAATGATAATGGCAATGAGGTTCTAGCCTAATGATTTATTTCCGAGTCCAAGAAATTATCTAAGTCACCATACTGTTTCTCTATATGCTATATATACTTATTATTCTCATATAGTTAGAAATACTCTAGACATAACAAAATTCAGAGTCAACCTACTTTATGCCTTTTCTACAGTAAACACCCACATGCATGCGGACCATATCACTGGATCAGGGCATCTGAAACGACTTTCTGGCTGTAAATCTATCATTTCTAAACATAGTGGAGCGGAAGCTGATATTTTGGTTACAGAGGGAGACTATATTGATTTTGGAAATCATAAACTAAGGGTGCTGAACACCCCTGGGCATACAAACGGTTGCTGTACTTTCTGTTTTGAAGAACATGTAAGCATGTTAAATTTTTATTTCCACTCAAAATTAACACAATAATACATATACACGTATCGTAAAAAAATGCAACAGAGTAGGTCTGGTAAAAGTACAAGCAAAGTCTATGAAAAAATATGACTTTTTCTGTAGAGATAGTGGTTGGATTGAAATATAGAGCAACAAAAAATATGGAAAGTATACATGGTACAATTATTAAGGGTTTGTGATCATTTTTAACTTGTGTTTCACAGGAATTTAAACAATCTCGTTTGTTGTTGTTCTCTGTCAAGTATTTGTTCAAATGATTCTCAGTTTGATGAACCTATTTTTGCATTACTTTGATGTTTGTGACTCATCGAAATTATCAGTAATCATTCAATGATTCATCTATTTGACTTGCGTTATTTATTATAATGTTTCATTAGTATCTTATCTATCTCTTACTGCAAAAAAGTTGAATCAAGTAGACTGACTCAGAACATTTGTGGAACAAAGAATTAGTAGTATGCCTGAAATGACAGCTGGCTTATACTGGTCCACATATGTCTTCCACTTGTTGGAAACTGAAAAATTGACGAATAGATTATAGTATAGCTAGTCTCATGTTTCTCTGATATGGTCAGAAGTTATAACATTTTTTTCCTTACAAGGGCATGGCGTTTACAGGGGACGCTCTGCTGATCCGTGGTTGTGGTCGGACAGATTTCCAGGAAGGCGACGCAGCGACGCTTTACAACAGCGTACATCAAAAAATATTCGCCCTTCCCGATCAGACTCTCTTGTATCCCGCGCACGATTACAACGGTCTGACTGTTACAACGGTGGACGAAGAGAAAAGGTTGAACCCCAGGTTGACGAAAAGTCTGCACGATTTTGTTCATATAATGGACAATTTGAAGCTTGGTTATCCAAAGCAGATCGGTGAGTTGTGCAGGTTTTATTATTCTCATTTTCGTAGCGAACGTCGTCGAACATTTTTAGTTTAAAATCTGCTCGTGTTTCAGCTGGATCACGAAAAGTTGTTGGCAGGGATCGGAACTCAAACAACATTAAGGAATCATTTAATTTTTATGGCCTTTTGAACTTTTACACATCTCTGGTGAAACATTTAAATCAATTAAAAAAATACAAATCAATGATAAAAAGTATGCCAGAGTCACCATTTTTTTTTTCATGAAATTTCGATCCCCTAATTGTACGAGGCTTATTATTTTGAGATTAATTTTCAGAAGTTATACTTATAAATGTTTTGCTGTTGGAATACATAATAGTTGAAAAAAATTAAGAAAAAACATGATTTAATATCACAGACTAAAACGTAGAAATAATTTATAATTTTAGGAGAGTTTGTGTTATTGCAATAGAAAGTCCAACAGTCAAGTATCACTAATTAATTTGGAATAGGATTCTTATAAAAATTAAGATATTTATAAATTATTGTATCTGCGTTTTTTATTATGCTTGAATGTTTGTTAATATTTCAATTTTTATATTGATCTTATTTCAAATTAATTAACTATTCTTGATTGTTGAACTTTCTATTGCAATAAGATTATTTTTGCTTCACTTGAAACTTATTTTCTGCTTTTTAGTTCAATTTTATTGAAGCGGTTTTTAACTATAATTTATTTTAAGAATTTTCAAAACGACAATAAAAGTACTCGAATTTTTGGAATATTTTATATTTGCCAATAAATTCAAATTTGCTTCATTCCTGTTTATATAATTTCGGAATTTCCAAAATTTTGCTAAATATCCAAATCTTCAAATTATTTTCCAAATTTTCAAATTTTTTTTTTAAAATTTCAAGTCAACATTTTGTTATAAATGTTAAAGTATAACTTTTTTGAAAAATTCTGTATTTTTCAAGACTGGAAATTTATGCAAATGTAAATTTTTTTTTTAATTGATTCTGGGCGAGGAAGGTCGACGTTTTCGGTATCCTTGCATTTTGAGATAAACAAAGATCGAGTTCAATCATTTTCTACTTGCGATGACCTTGAAAAAACCGTGAAATTATTTTTCTAATTTCCAGTATTTCCGATAATTTTCCTATTTTTTCCAAATTTCAACTTTTTTAGAAAATGTCAAATTGTCAAGTTAATCACTTTTTTGTTACGTATTTTTCAAATGTTGCTCTTTAGCGTTATGCTACTTTTTTGCAATTTTTTAATTTCCGGATACTATTAAAAGAATGAACTGACCTTGAGAATCCGCGAAGGTCATAAACAAGCTGAATCTCATTAAATAACCACGATGTTGCAAATTCTTGACTATAATTTATTTTATTAATTTTCAAAACTACAATAAAAGTACTTGGATTTTTGGAATATTTTATATTTGGCAATAAATCCAAATTTACTTTATTCCTATTTACTTAATTACGGAATTTTCAAAAATTTTAAAAATATCCAAATCCTCAAAATATTTTCCAAATTTCCGAATTTTTCGTTTCAAAATTTTCAAATCCAGTAATTTTTCCAAATTTCACAATTCAATTTTTTAAAAAAATTCGATATTCTACATTTTCCAAGTTTATGCAAATGCAAATTTTCAAGTTAATCATTATTTGATTCTGGGCGAGGAAGGTTGACGTTTTCGGAATCCTTGTATTTTGAGACAAACAAAGATCGGGTTCAATCATTTTATACTTGCGATGACCTTAAAAAAACCGTGAAATTATTTTTCAAATTTCCAGTATTTCCGATAATTTTCCTATTTTTTTCCAAATTTCAATTTTTTTAGAAAATGTCAAATTGTCAAGTTAATCACTTTTTTGTTACGTATTTTTCAAATGTTGCTCTTTAGCGTTATGCTACTTTTTTGCATTTTTTTTAATTTCCGGATACTATTAAAAGAATGAACTGACCTTGAAAATCCACGAAGGTCATAAACAAGCTGAATCTCATTAAATAACCACGATGTTGCAAATTCTTGACTATAATTTATTTTATTAATTTTCAAAACTACAATAAAAGTACTTGGATTTTTGGAATATTTTATATTTGGCAATAAATCCAAATTTACTTCATTCCTATTTACTTAATTTTGGAATTTTCGAAAAATTTTAAAAATATCCAAATCCTCAAAATATTTTCCAAATTTCCGAATTTTTCGTTTCAAAATTTTCAAATCCAGTAATTTTTCCAAATTTCACAATTAAATTTTAAAAAAAAAATCGATATTCTACATTTTCCAAGTTTATGCAAATGCAAATTTTCAAGTTAATCATTATTTGATTCTGGGCGAGGAAGGTTGACGTTTTCGGTATCCTTGTATTTTGAGACAAACAAAGATCGGGTTCAATCATTTTATACTTGCGATGACCTTAAAAAAATCGTGAAATTATTTTTCAAATTTCCAGTATTTCCGATAATGAACAATGAACTGACTTTGAAAATCCTTCAAGGACATAAACAAGCTCAATTTCAATCATAGACAACTTGCAAGCTTTAGAAGGTCCATTTCCGAGTCTAGGTTTTGAGAAATTTTTTTGTTACGAATTTTCCATATCATTGTTATATATCATTTCGTTCAAGGGAGTTATTTAAAAGAAGCTGATTGATGATTTTTTCATTCTTGATGATCTGTCGCCCCCTAAAAGTCCAACCTCACGTCTACGTCTCGTGGGGGGCAGGCAACGGTCTTTCGGTGCCCCGTCGGGGGCCCGATCGCCGGCCGACGAGGCTCTGGCACCCCTATATCAGACTCTCCATCCCCTAACTCTTTCCTGACCTCCCAGCAGGATACACGCCTCCCTGAAGCGGCGTCGCGCCGAAGTGGTAGCGTCGAAAGAAGCCAGGTTCGGCACACCTGGGCCGCCGGTTAGTACAGGGGCCCACCCTTGACCAGCCAACGTAGGGGGCTGCCCTATCAGCCGGCGCATAATCTCGGACGGGGCGGATAGTGCCAGGTGGCGCCTGGAAAAGGGCCCTGACGCCTTGTCCGGGGGGCTTCGACTGCGGCCGTCGGACTTCGCCCTTCTGGGTCCAAGAGTCAGATTTACGATCGCCCTGGAAGCAGTGAAACAAAGAGGCTTCCTTGTTTTTTATTAAATTTTGTATTGTACAAAGGTGTTGGAGCTCTGGGCGGGGAGAAACGGTTAGGGGGTGGTCTGTCTGATCCGGAAGGTTGTTCTGATACTCTACATACTTAGAAATAAGGGACCGTGTTTTCTTTAATCCAATAAAAAGATACTCTTAAGATCTGAACTGATATGATTCTTTGATGATAGAAAATGTAGCACTGACTCATTACTGAAAGTATGAAGTTTTATCTGTGGAATGCCCTTAAAGACGTTGGGGAAGGGTTTCCTATTTTTTAATATGTAGAGTATGAGAACATTCTTTTTTACATGGGATTCTTCCAGGCAAGATTAGTGAATTGTATCATTACATAAGCAAAAAATACATTAGTTACGGAATATGCTAATACAGAAGGCAGTGTGAACACTTTATAAGATTTATGCAAAAGTCAAATTTTGTCTGCACCTTTTTTATTACTGTGAAATAACTCATTGCACAATTTTGAGTATACCAGCAACATGTTAGCTATCTTGTTTGGAATTATCCCATGATAATTTCAAAACGTGTATTTTGTTTATACACGAGTATTATCCATAACATCGAAACACAAGCACACGTCGACGTTATAGATAAGGGAATATCATATTTTTGCTATCACCGATTAATAAGAAACGTAATACATGTAGTATCACTTCACAATACATGCTGCTTAAAAAAATGGCTTTCCTTATCTGTCACACGGTTTAAACACAAACACAAAAAAACCCTGTGGAGGCCAGGGTGGATTCTTCCGAAACAACCTCCGAAACAAAACAAACATGGAAGAAACAAATGAAAGAGAAAACGTAAACGTGCCAAAAACAGTCGCAGTGGAAGGAACGGAGGCCCCTACCTCCGAAGAGTCTCGCCCAACGGGCGAAAGCGTTAATAAAATCCCTGTTGAGGGAGAAGATTCAACATTGGAAAAGCCAGTGTTGGAACTTGGCGAAACTCAGTCGTTACATCAAAAAGGTGAAGGAAAAGCGTCTGAGTTGAATGATAAAACTAATGAATCGGATACTGTAAGCTTAACAAAGATAGATGAGAAGGTAGAAGAGGAACGTACTACGAATGATCCTGAATCTGGAAAGTTTAGTCCTCAAAATGAAGGTAAAATTTCCGTAGATGTGGTAAAGGATCAGGAAAGTGATAATACAACTCCTTGTGATACAGATAGCCAGAAAGATTCTACAGCTATTGATAGACCAAACCCTCCAGAAGAGTCTTTGAAGTCTAGCTCTGAAGGTCAGCCAGAGACTTCAGTAGCTGAAGCACAAGTTCAAGATTCAGCCAAAGAGAGCCAAATAGATTCGATAGATGTTGATAGACCGAATTCTTCAACAGAATCTTCAAAGTGTAGCTCTGAAAGTCAACCAGAAACTTCAACAGCTGAAGATTCTTCAGCCAAAGATAGCCAGAAAGATTCTACAGCTATTGATAGACCAAACCCTCCAGAAGAGTCTTTAAAGTCTAGCTCTGAAGGTCAGCCAGAGACTTCAGTAGCTGAAGCACAAGTTCAAGATTCTTCAGCCAAAGAGAGCCAAATAGATTCGATAGATGTTGATAGACCGAATTCGTCAAAAGAATCTTCAAAGCGTAGCTCTGAAAGTCAACCAGAAACTTCAATAGCTGAAGATTCTTCAGCCAAAGCTAGACAGATAGATTCTTTAGCTAATGATAGACCAAACCCTTCAGAAGAGTCTTTAAAGTCTAGCTCTGAAGGTCAGCCAGAGACTTCAGTAGCTGAAGCACAAGTTCAAGATTCTTCAGCCAAAGAGAGCCAAATAGATTCGATAGATGTTGATAGACCGAATTCGTCAAAAGAATCTTCAAAGCGTAGCTCTGAAAGTCAACCAGAAACTTCAATAGCTGAAGATTCTTCAGCCAAAGATAGACAGATAGATTCTTTAGCTAATGATAGACCAAACCCTTCAGAAGAGTCTTTAAAGTCTAGCTCTGAAGGTCAGCCAGAGACTTCAGTAGCTGAAGCACAAGTTCAAGATTCTTCAGCCAAAGAGAGCCAAATAGATTCGATAGATGTTGATAGACCGAATTCGTCAAAAGAATCTTCAAAGCGTAGCTCTGAAAGTCAACCAGAAACTTCAATAGCTGAAGATTCTTCAGCCAAAGATAGACAGATAGATTCTTTAGCTAATGATAGACCAAATTATTCAGAAGAATCTTCAAAGTGTAGCTCAAGACAAGAAACTGCAGTAACTGAAGCAACAGTTCAAGTTTCTTCAGCCAAAGACAACCAGATAGATCCTAAAGTTGTTGAGGGGACTAATTCTTCGGAAAAACCTTCAAAATCTAGCCCAGAAAATTCCGACGCTGAAGCAAAACATCGAGATTCTTTAGCCAAAAATAGCCAGACAGATTCTGTAGCTGTTGATAGACGAAATTCGTCAGAAGAATCTCCACAATCTAGCTCCGAAAATCGACCAGGAACTTCAAAACTTGGAGAATTAAAGTCGAATTCTAAATCCAAACGAAAACTTGACGACTCTGAAGAAACTCGTGAAGCAAAGGAAATAATGATTGACACAGAAGAAGACAAAGAATCTAATCGTTTTGACTATACAGAATTTGAACAACGGGGCAGTAAGTTTGGTATGAAAAAGTTGAAGGTGGTCTTAGATCGCAAAAAACACAAATCTGCCGATAGAATCGAATCTTCAGCTGGGTGTTCACAACAACCTGGACCCAAATCTAAAAAGACTAAACCATTTAATGACACACCTCAAAAACCAGGCCCTAAATCAAGGAAAGCCAAACATCAAGATGTTAGCAGCACTCAGATGAGGGAGACTGAACTTCATGAATCTACAGTACATAGTTGCTCAGAAAAAATATATCGATATCAAAAACCAGGACCAAAATCAAAGAAAATGGCAAACCGTCAAAATACTGGCTGCAAACTACAGAAAGAAACTAAATCTGTCACTGAAATTGAAACTACTTTACCGAGTTGCTCAAAAATATCTCGTCTTCAGAAACCAGGACCCAAATCAAAGAAGGATCGACGTCAATACGATAATAGTAAAAAAGTAAAGGACACTGAATCTGAACATACGAAAATGAAAGAATTGAAGGTATGTTTGAAACGATTTACCGATAAAGCTCACCAGAAAACTGAGTCCACTTCACAGCTTAAGAAGGAACAAGGTCAAGATAAATCCGAAGTTTCCGCAGAAGGAGAAAAAAGGCTTGGAGACTCACCAGAGTCAAATGAACAAAACATTTCATCAGAACAAGAAGAGTCTCGCAACAAAGAAGAAAGCACCGGAGCAAACGAATCTAGCGAAGAAAATACACCACCTAGCCAAATAGATGCTTTTATGGTTGCTGCTTCTATCGCTACGACTCCGAGTAAGCCAGGACAGAAACAGGAGAACAACGACGAAGAAAGTCTGTCCTGTAACCAGAAGAATGATTCCCATAGGCATGAAAACAACTCTGGGATCAAACAAGAAGCTGATGAAGATGAAAATGTAGACAGCAGACATTCTGCGGCGCATAAAACAGAGAATAACCAAATAGACTTAACTGGGCTAACAGTCGTTGAAGAAACATCAGAAAATGATACGCAGGAGAATGAAGATAAAGGTATCGAAACGACTGTGTCCAAAGACCTGGAAAGCTCTGCTAAACATGAATCGAGCAAAGCACTGGGTGAATCGAAACAAGAGAAAGATGATAGTACTCCAGTGAACGAACTCAAGGTGGTCTTACAACGAATGCAGTTTCAAGCTGATGCTACAAACAAAACTACTAAGTCGTGTTCAGAAAACGATGTTCCTCTCATAGAAAAAAGAGCGCAGGTCGAAAGTACAGAGGCTAAAGATGAAGAGAAACAGTCGGAAAGATCAAATGTATCGTTGGAAGAAGTTGTATTCAATGATATTGAATCCTTTAACGCCGCCTCTGACGATATGAATGACAGTTCACGGGATAATTCGACGACTAACGCTTCGACCTCTGCCGACAAAGGAAAACTCACAGAGAGGATTAAAGATGGAGAGGAGGTTGCCAGTAGAGACACTGATGCTGTGATAGATTGCACAGAGTACAGTGATATCGGTAGTGACGTAGAGCAAATATTGGACGAAGTTCCGCTGGAGTTTGAATCAGTATACGAAGAAGAAGACCTTGCCCCAGGAACAGAAAATGATTCAAACAGTGCCACAAATTCATCCAAGCTAGCGACTTACTACGAAAGCATATTGGGACCTATCCCAGGCGAGGAACAATCGAAGAGCCAAGCTACTACTCGTCAAAAAGCAGCCGAAGGTTCACCTAAGTCGAAGAATCAGAGAAGGAAGGAAAGGAAACAGCAGTTCAAAGAGGAACTGGCCAAAAACGTCGCGGTTCAAGAATCCACACCGGCGCCGGCTCCACAACCAAACAAGAGTCAAAGGGCCTCCATGACAAGCCAGGCTCAAGTCACATCCAGTCCGTATACCAGAGGCCCAAAGAAGAGAGACGCTCTTAGAGCTGCTTTGAAAGCAGCCAAGGAAGCAGCGATGTCTCTACCCAAAGCGCCTGCGTCCCAAAGAGCTCCAGAAGAAACTAAACAGCGAGCCATGGATGCGGCCATGAAGGCTGCTCAGGTGGCCGTGCAAACGCATGCTCCTATTATGCCCACGACTGCAGATCTGGCTCAGTTGGGACTGCCGACGGGCTTTGGCCGGAAGCAGCAAGATACTTCGAAGGCATGGAAGTCCAAGGTGAAGTTCAAGCCGAACCAAGCTGAGAAAGAAATTGTTTATAAAGGCACTGTTTCCACGGCTCAGTTGGCAAGCATGGGATTACCAACGGCGGCTGGTTCAAGGTCCGAACAGTCAGCTGGACCTGCATATAAAATTCCGCGCAAGGCAGCCGGTGGAGTCGCAGAAAATGCTATAGCAGGTTCTGTATGGGCTAGCACGTATGCGTCAGGACAACTTGCATCGATACCGACATCAAAAGGCAACCCAGTGCCGAATCCTAAAGAAAACCCAGGCTCTTCTCGGAGAGGGATGGCACCGAGACAAGATAGGCGAAGTCCAAAGAGAAGTCTTGATTCAAAACAGAGGGATAGATCTCCACGACGACGAAGTCCTGCATCGAGAAACGAAAAAGCCAAATTGCCAGTTTGCGTGCATGAAGTACGGGGAACTGCACCGAAAACACCCGTTGCGAAAGATACAAGACGAAGTCCTGTCTCGATATCTGATTCAAAGAGGGATAATCCATCAAGATCGTCTCGTTTAGATTTATTGGATACCAGACATAGTAGAAGTCCTTTCAGAAGAAGTTCGCCCAGACGAAGTCCACTCAGGAGAAGTTCCCCTAGGAGAAGTTCGCCCAGACGAAGTCCACTCCGGAGAAGTTCCCCTAGAAGAAGTTCGCCCAGACGAAGTTCCCCAAGACGAAGCCCTGCCAGACGCAGTTCCCCTAGACGAAGTTCCCCCAGAAGAAGTCCTACGAGAAGAAGTTCCCCCAGACGCAGTTCCCCCAGAAGAAGTCCTACGAGAAGAAGTTCCCCTAGACGAAGTTCCCCCAGAAGAAGTCCTACGAGAAGAAGTTCCCCCGGACGGAGTTCGCCCAGGCGTAGTCCTGTTAGACGAATTTCTCCTTATAGAAAAAGTCCTGCATCCTCCAACAAGATGGATAGCGCACCAGGTTCTTCTAACCCGGCCGGGGATAAACATTTGTTGGATACCAAACGAATTGCTGCTTTACGAACAGAGCTGGAAAAAAAGAAAGCCTCTCTCATAGAGTTGTCGAGGCCAAATCCAATTGGTAAGACAACAGCCTGCAAAGACCAAATTATGAAAACTGTTGATCCGAACAACAGGGACCAGTCAGCTCTGGAACCAAGTGGTCCTCCAGCGGTGAAGGTTTCTGATTTGCTGGGCATGATGGTAGGAACGAAGCAAAATGCTGCAGAAATAGCTGCAGCATGGACTAAGTCGACGTCTTCAGTGAGTAGCTCTTCACTGCCAAAACCGAAAGAAGATTTCTTGAATCCTGACAGTTTTGATATCCCAGTTATCAAGCCTCCATCTACATCCAAAAAGTCAGGATACTCCCGGGCTCATTCAGAAGTTCCCGTCAAGTCTCACCAAGCCTCACGGGACCATGTTGATCTTGATAAAAATCCTGAGTTATACTTCACCGGTAGCGATCGTTGGCAAAAACCTGACACGCTCGCCAAATCCGACATGCATAGCGAGATTAGGGAGCGTCCACAAAGTCTAGAGCTACCAGCAGATATAAATGATATAGACTTTGGTTACTACAAGATGCCTGAACCGTATACGTTGCCTCAAACTGGCTACAGCCAGATGATGTATAAAGATCCACTAGAAAAACCGAACCAACTTGGTTCCACTGCCGCAGCACCAAAATCGATTTTGAAGTCAAGTAAGAGCGCGTTTCCGATAAACATGAATATAGACTATAATGCTGCTCAAAGAAGAGGAATTGAGAAACATCCTATGCCCGTAGCAGCTACCTCACAATCGTCGTCAAAACCGAACGTCCCAAGTATACTCAAACCTGTTCAGGCCTCAAAAACCGTCTCGTCCTTACCGAGACCTAGCGGAATCATCCCATTTGGCCAGAAGTCTAGTTCAAATATCCAGAGAGGACATCCAGAAACGCAAAAGTCAAATTCCCGAGACTCACAAGTCATTGACCTTACGGATCAATCAAGTAAGACTGAGGAATACAGTTCTGGAAGCCGAAGAGGTCCGCTTCGAGTACCCTCGCCACCTCCCCCTCCTCCATTTATTATGCCTCCCTTCCAGAAGCATCCTGGAAACCTACCTGCGAAGCAATCTAGATCCCCCGAAGACCGATATCAACGGCATAAGTCGCCTGATAGATTTCAATCTTCTGAAAGATGGAGGGATATGCCACGTGGATCTCCTGGCGGTTGGAGGAGGTCTCCACCTCCGCAGAGACCCAGTTCGCCTCCACGAAGACAGAGCTCGCCGCCACCGTCAGAGCTTCAGTCAAAGAAGCCTCGATTAGAGTCTCAAAGTAGGCCTGCTGCATCCAGGAATGATTCGGATGATCTACAGGTCGCTATCTGCTCGAACAGACCCACAGGGGAGGTGCTGCCTCAGGAAGCCGCACGTATCAAGTCCTACATTGTCCAGGAATCCGTCAAGGCCATGCAGGGACCCACAGGAGGTCCTAGAGGTCCACCTCTTCGTTTTACCAACTCCAAACGGTGCGATGAAGGTTGGTTTCTCATCACACCTTTGGACTCCGTCGCCCAGAACTGGTTGCTGCGTATCTTAGCTCCTCTCCGTATAGGCAACTTAGTCTTCAAGCCCATGAAGGCAGCTGACGCCCCATGGCCTACCTTGGTGGAGATGTTGGTGACAACCCCGCAGCTGGACGTCCAAAGGCTGCTCATGATGTTAGACCTGCAGAATCCCACGTTAAGGATGAAGGATTGGAAGCATCTGACCAGCAAAGGACGACCTGGCGGTTGGATAGTCACCTTTAGCGTGGTCCAGGAGGTCGTCGATGCCTTGGAGGAGTGCGATTGGACGCTGTGGTATGAGCTGGACAGCATCAGGGTGCGGAGAGCAGCTCAACAAAAACCTAGAGGAGGAAGCTAGTGAAGACTTGGAGAGTTGCAATACGGGTGGCCTGCAGGTAAGTTATTGTTTTGTTGAGCCGTTTTTATTTCAATTTAAAGGGGACTTCGGGTTTTGGATAATTTACCTTTATTAGAAAATTGTCAGGAAATGCTTTTATCTAGAACGGAAGGGTGATTCTTTGGGCATATCTTGACTGATGCTGGTGGGATTGTTGTCCAGACGCAGTACATGCTCTTGTTGAAAGAGCTTTGTCCACCCTTGGAGCTTCGGTTTCTCTTCAATGCGCTGTGAGAATCGTAAAAAATTAGAACGTAAACATTTCATAGGTACCTGCTGTAACGGATCCTGCATCAACCATCAACAAGGACTGATCCATAAGAGAACAAATTTTGGATCAAGTACCTAAGCAGTAAAAAATCGACGTGACCAGTAAGGAAACCACCCGCGCTGAATCAGGACTCTTCCAAAACGGCTCCAGTCGCGGACACCAAAACCCAAATTTGACACGTAAGTTTTGACATTTTTAATTATTCAAACATGGAATACTTAATATATATTACGAATAGATGCACAAGTTGGAAGTGGAATTTAGGTACAAGGCCATCTGGCCATAGGGAGATCCATGGAAGGAGGGACATCATGCTGGCTCACTTTGAAGGCTAGCAGAAACAACCGATAAAAGGTTGAGCGGAAGTGGTGTCAATGGTTATTGATAACGATGACGAGAGTTTCGAATTTATTTGCAACACTCGCATTTGGTGAAGACTTAAAGAACGGCATTGCAGTGAGTTTTTTTGTTTGTTAAAAGTGAGGTGGTATGCATTGGTATTGAGCTATACTCGTGGTAGGTAGTATTATTTCTTGACTAGGTTCCTTGAATACTTGCCGGTCGTAAGAGTTATTGAATGGTACCAGGACTTCTTCTTTTCTCGATCTGGACGTTGGTGACTGTCATTGTTGTTCGAATCTTGTTTCCGGCTGATCAAGTCAGTCACGAAGGGAACTTTTCAGATTTGCGAGGCAGAATATCTTCATTCTGAAGGACCTCGTTTGGACCAGGACTGCGAGAAATAGATGGATGATTGAAGCCAAAACATTCACGAGAAACATCGTTATTTGAGCTGGAACTGTGAATCAACATATTAATGAGATCAGCGGGAAGAAGAAACAGTATTTATTAAGAAGGTGATCGTCCCTGGAAGCTCCAGTTGGAGATTTGCCAAAGTGCACTACTGGATTTGGATTCATGAACAGTACGGTAGGTGGGAACCTATACCTTAAATCACATCTTTCCAGATGTAGACCAGGACTTGTTCCCGAAGTCTGGATAGTTGATAATTTATAATTGATAATTTACTATCATTAATGCCTTGACGTTTCTTTGCAGATAAGTATGTCGGACGAATTAACTACTAACTTTGCTGCTTTTGGAGATCCAATAAGATATACTGAAATTACATTGTAACCCTTCGGTTGATCAATAAACATATTTAACAAAAAAAAAAAAATTGTATATTTGAAACCCATTTTATGCCTCTTTTTTGAAAGCGCTATCAAAGTTGTCAAAGTATCGCGGACCTTGTGATCATGCGAATAGTATTTATATAGTTCACGACAGCCTTATAGTATCTGATTACGGTCGTAAAAGGTAATAGAGCCCAGAAGGCGGCTTTTGTGGCTCAGATGTACAATTTATACGTTTGAACCAGATCCAGTGTATATGTTTTAGCAGAAACATGTAAACATACACTATAAGTCTGCCGTGAACTATAGCATTCTATTCTATGTGTTACAGATAAAGCCCTGCCAGCGAACAAAGTATGCGGACTCTACAATCTACCAGAAGAACTGAAAGATGGATTGTCGTAACATTCTAAACTATGTACGTAGGTTTAAGTCAACTGAATGTGATATAAGTACGGTTTGTAGGCAGGGTAACACGATTTGTTCACGTATATAAGGACTAAACATGTATTAATTCGTTTTCATTTATGTAATGATTTCCTCTATTTAATCTTAGGTTCTTGTATAAATAGATATTGAGGGACTGAGGGAGAAAACACGAATATTTTGGTTCTCTGTAGCTACGTGTCATATGCGAGGATGAATTTTTGAAAGGTGGTAACTGGCTGTTGGAATCAAACATAGTTGAGGTCCTCTTGAAGCTGCTAGATGAAGTGGTTCATATTTTGATGGCATCTTGGGTTGAACGATTCAACTGTGTAAGAAAGCCATGACTTTGCTTTTGGTCGTACACAGTTCTCTAAAAAACAGATGTTTAACCAAAACCCTGTAGACTGTGTTAGGAGGGCTCAGTGCAAATATTGAGTCGCCTACTAGTCTACAAATACGGAAAAGGTGCCTAACTGGAACTACAGGGCCGAGACATGAAGCTTCACTGGGAATTAATCTTCAACATTTGTCGTGTGAAAAAGACAGCTAAATGTCGCCTTTTTTGGTTCAACTTGAATTACATAATCACTATATTATCTCGAAAATCTTATGAAACTTCGATTTTCTCCTTCTACCTTCAAACTTACATTAGTATTTTTTTTTGTATTTGAGTTTAATAAACATGTTTTACTGACTCACCTGTTTTCATCACCTTACATACACATCATACTCTTACATAGAAACCTTAAACTTTGTGTTTGAATCAATCATCTTCACATATCTGATGTGTTTCTATCAAAATTTGTCATTTTGCACCTACAGCTCGAAAACCTTTTGAACAAAGATATTGATTTTTTCTTAGATGACTTGCTCCACAAATTCTTTATGTCCTATATCAACATTTTCTTTTGAAACAAAAAATTGAATATGTAGAAAATGAAAAATATGTCACTTAAACCCGTGCCTGTACAGGGTGACTTCGAAGTTGAGTCATTTATTTTAACAGTGAGTAGATCTGATCAAAAGAAATGTTTTTTTCCTTTACCATTTTTCTGGTAAAATTAAAGTAACAAAGTTATAGCCCTTTGGAAGTTTGAGTACCGCCCTGTCTCAATAATATCATGTGCTCGTGTTTGGCAACAACGGATATAATCCGCCTTATCGGTTCATCGCATCGGAAACAAAAAAGCGAAGGAATTTGGAACGATGTTTTTACAATTATGTTATTCAGTTCAGTTATACATACAGTCAGTGTCAGTCGCGTGTGAATAGTGTCTGTTGCGTGGCTCAAATGAAATAAAAAATGGCACATGTTTATGCGGATCGGTTTCCCAATCGAGTGCCTTTGTTAATGTAGTACAACGGGCTCGTGAATCAGGTGACTTAAGACCTCACAGGGGACCTCACGATCAAATACAGGTCCGCACTGAAATACTTGTCGGGAGGATACTTTATAAAACAAGGTAAATTTTTTTTTTATTTTTACTCGCATATTTTGGTTTATCTTCCTTCTACAATCATTATCTGAAAATTAATGACTCAACTTCAAAGTCACTCTGTATATTTAAAGCGGCAGATGTACAAATATTGACAGAAAAATTTACATTTTGACAAAAACTTCCTTCCGCTCCGTGATTGGTCTTCAATCGAAACGCTCCATTCTGAAAATGCCTTAAACCACCGAAACACTTGGCGCCTGTCAAAACACTATCTTTGTAGGCCTGTTTAGCAAGACTGCGCATTGCACTATGCCCAAGTCTGCAGCAAAACCTTCTTGAAGTTGATGTCACTCATTTTTAGAACACAATAGAAAAAACTAACAAACAAGCCGTTAAATCACCACTTTGGCGAAAAATCGCCACGCCTGGCAACCCTGCGAGCAAGTGCAAACTTGTACTGACCACCATGCGGTGTTGGCACCCAGAAAAAATGGCGGCTTTGACAAGTATGACGGTTAATTGCTCTCTTTTTTAGTTATCTTTTATTTGTGTCTGGATGGCTGGAAGTTAGGTTGGCCCGAGTAAAGATAACGTGGCCACGCAAGACAACTATTGAAATATAGTCTACTAGACTATCCGTAGCTAATTTTTTCTCGAAATCGTTGCACAATACTTGAAAATATGCAAATGAAGATTGACGTTCTAAATGACTCCGTCGTTACCCCGGGATAGACATACGGTTTGACAGTTGATCTTGTCACATGGATTGCGGCGTTGCCAGCTCGTCGGACGATTTTGCTATCTCTGTTATCACCAATTTCTTGGACCTTTTGATCGAGACTTTGCTAATAGTTTTGAGATTTTTCAGAAATGAATGTAAGTACATAATAATACAAGAACGTTAGATTCATGCACGTTTCTGTAAATTTCTTTTTATAATAATGTATTACAGGGCGGCCAAGGTAAGGATCAGACTAGGTTAAACTCAGTTGCAGAAGACCATCACCTGAAATGAAAATATTTGGACCATAAATATTATTGATGTGTTCATACAATATGAAATTTAGATAATATATTCTCGAGTATAGATTCTTTTACTGTTTTCAAATGTTCAAGAGAGATATATGGATGATTTTATAATAGCATGTGTTATTGACGCTGCTACTTAAGCAGATAAGTGATTACTTATTCGTCAAAATAGCAAAAATATGTTAATAACACATGTTGTAAAATCATACATCATTAGTAAATGCCCAATATATAATTGTACAAGAGTCTCAGATTTATGCAAATAGCCGGCAACGTCGCATGCGGCGGTCGTGCACAATTTGACAACCATGTGACATCAAGAAAAAATGGCGCCACCAGTGTTGCCAGATCGGACGCTACCTTGCCAGTCTTATCACTTAATTTACAGACCTCATATATAAGAACTGTCAAAAAATTGACTTATGTCAAGTTCACTTTGATCCTCACTACAGATTATGAATATAAAAAGACAAACAAATCCTTGACTGGCTCCTACTTAGTTAAAATTCGTTGGCAAATTCCACCTAAATAAGTAAAATCACTGCAAAATGGTTATGTGTGGCAACGACGAATGAAGCAGGTGGTACAATCTATTGTTGGGAAATCGTAAGTAGCAATAAAGTTCCCGCATATATATTTAAATGTATTTGGGAATCGTGTGGTTTTACTTTGTTTCAACAGATGTCGCTGAGTAGTACCAGTAATAGATAATCCATGATTAACGTATTGATGGATCAATTCGCAAATCAACTTCGCATATCTGATATTTTTCTTCAATTCCGATCAGAAGGAAGATTTGAGAGTTTGCGTTACGTCATTTTATGCAATAAGTAAATTCACTTCAAAATTTATATATGTGGCAACGTCGGATGAAGCAGGTGGTACCATCTGTTGTTGAAAAATCGTAAGTCGAACGATCAGTAATGAATTCCTGCAGATTAATTTGGGAAAGGCATCGCGACGTTTTGCTTCATTCCAACAGGTGTCGCTGATGGTACTGCTTTGTGCGTGTCTGGATTGATAAGCCTTAATTAACGTATTGATGGATATGTTAATTCTTACACATTATCCACCGTCTTCGGAATTTCTTGGGGATGAAGCATCATGAATTTTAACACTGAAGCTGTCTGAAAGGCTGCGCAAACCCCTGATCAGGGGGTAGTCGAGTACCACTGCACAGACAGCTGTAAAAAATTAGTATCTGGTATTGAACGCAAGTTACAGTATTTTAAGAAATACTGTGAAAGTTTTTCCAGCGAACTGGAATCGGAAATACTGTAGTACTGCAGTACTTTACGTTAGTATCAGTCAAGCGAGTTAGGATGAGAAACAGAAGTCTAGCGAGTACATCTGCAGTACATCTTTTGGAGTTTACACAGTATAATAAACACCCAGTGGACATGATGACTACAAAATAACGTTTTTATTCGGTCATTTTTGGTCGGAAACGTCATTGACCAAAAAATGACGACTCTATTAACGCCATTTTTATGATGCCAAGACGTCCTTTAAAAGCCCGTCATTTTGACGTCTATTTTAGTACAGCCAGTTCTGAAAAATCAACACTTGGATACACCGTGAGGTTATTTTTGCGAGCGACTGTACGTCGTATCGGCGTTACGTGACGTCATATCGACCTCAGATAGATGTCATATCCATGTCATACAGCGTCATATCGACTTTGTATTTGGTCATTTTTGTAACGCCACTATGTTCACAATATTGCGATATATAGATATTTTCTGACGTTTGGTCCTAAGCTATTGAACTTTCAAAACAACTTTTATTTCTGGAACTTAAATTAAACATTTACCGCCGTACAGTAACATATGCGTAACTTATGGGACATGGAGACGAATCCTTTTCGTCCTGAAATTAATTTTTTTAACCAGTGGGCTGTAATTAACTTTAGTAAAATTAAATTATACTTTCAGAAGCCACGTTTGGGACTTGTCAATATTCATAAAATTGATGTGCGTAACTCACTCAACTTAGAAAGTAAACGGCACGTCCAGAAGGCAATGTTTAATAAGTTCTGCGAGTGATTCCAAACAGAAATAGACCAAAAAATTTAATATGTTATATACGCCATCTATGTTGCAAAATAAAAGTAAAGGATAAACATAACCTATATAAAAATAATGACCCCGTTTCAACGTTGCCAGATGGATCAAACAGAATTACTCCAGAACAAGCACAAATATCCCTCAGATTTTGCAAGTTTCTTAAAAAAAATCCCCTAATCATATTTTTCGTAGTCATCATTTGTATAAAAGTGTACAAATATTAATCTCGTACAGAAACTTATGATCGGGATTTCTCGTTCGTCTGGCAACCCTGCACGGAACGCGGTTTATTCATAGAACGATAAAACACTGCAGAGAACAATGATTTCTAGACCTCATGACAAAACAGCACAACTATCTCTTAAAGACATTTTAGAAACGTCATTTTGAGATATTAGAGACGCCGTAAAGACGTCATGTGAATGCTGTACGACATCTTAAAGACGTTGTAAAGACGTCGTTTGTTACAAAAACTGTCTTAAAGACGTCTTTTTAATACATTCGAAAGGTCTTTAGTGCGGTATCAATAACAAATAATAAAAACAAGCGAATCATTAATAAAAGCGTTTTTATTCAAAAAATAATTATTTGTTTCCAAACTTTTTCTCGGTGAGTGTCTGGTGATCTGAAGCTCTTTCAGCATACACTGAAATAAGGAGGTACAGGTTGTTTCATAAACTTTTTAATGTTGTAATCCAAAATGTTTTTGCCTCGCAAATTTTACATTTTCAATTCAGGGCCTACACTTACTTGTTGAGACACAGAACACTTTTTTCTAACGTTAATTAATGGACGATTGTCAAATAAATGGAAAACCATAAAAGTAGACAAGAATTTTTCCCGCGTACGCTACGCCCTACGCCTTAGAAAACACTGACACAAATGACAAACGGCCTTGACAGATGCCCGAGCTAGAGATGTTGCAGAGGCAAGTATAGAGATGCGCGTCTTAATCGATCCATCGTTATCTGGTGGCGAGTCGATGAGTTAATAGATTTTGAAGTTTAAAAGACAATTGGTGTTTATAGAGAAATAAAGATATCTGAAAACATCAACGACTTGTCCTTTCGCATAGTTCAAAATAATGAAATTGGTTAAAAAATATAAGAATCACAAACAATACATGTTACTTCAAAATTTAGTTAGAT